GCAGCCATCATTGTTGTTTGGCGGGCCTGGGCTGGGGATTTGAACCCGCCACCTTAGGTGTATGTGGCTGGCGCCTTAGCTGCTTGAGCCACAGGCGCCAAGCCACCACTGAGCTGACTCTTATAATTCAATATTGTTAGAGATAGAATAGTACTGCTCTGCTCTTTATTATTATTTTTTTTTACTTGTGTTTTTCTGGAATAATACAGCTCTTAAAAAGATATGTTTGTATAGGCACAGTGGCTCATGTCTGTGATCCCAGCACTTCCAGAGGCCCAAGTGGGAGGATCATTTGAAGCCAAGAGTTGGTGACCAGACTGGGCAACATAGTAAGACCTTATCCCTGCACACAAAAAATAAAAAATTAGCTGGTGCATGCCATGTTGGTACACAGTGGTACATGTACAGGTGGTACATGTACAGGTGGTTCATGCCTGTAGTTATAGCTACTTGGGAGGTTGGTGCAGTAGGATTGCTTGAGCCCAGGAGATTGAGGTTACAATCACATCATCACACCCTAGCCTGGCTGACAGAGAGAAACCTTGTCTCAAAAAAAATTATAAAAAAAAGAAAAGAAAAAGATATGTATTATTTAAGAGCATATGTATGTGTGTAGTTAGGGTGAGAGACAGACTGCTTACTTTATACTTAGTTTCTTTGTAAGGTTTAATCATTGAGTAGGAGACCTTCCAGTTTTCCTATGAGTTGGCCAGGTGTACTAGAGATACCCACACTCAGAGAGATTGCTTAGCTTCCCTACAAGGGTCCCTACTATTGTGCTTGTGATGTTTAACTTCAGTTAAAGTTTTGACTTTAAAAGAAGGTGAGGTAATGACTTTGATCAGGTCATTGATCAAAAGAACAAATGTGCTAAGGTGGCTGGAAATAGTTTAGATGGCAGCTGTCCTCACAGTCCCCCACTGTAACACCTGGCAGTGATCGTCTGCTGGGTGGTCTGCGTCTTCCCTGGGGTCTCTCAACTGGAATGGCTGCCAGGACCAGTGAGAAAATGCTTCCTTGTGATGTGCCGTCACCAACTTAGCTGGGTTTGGAACAGTACTTGCTACATTAATAGGGACAGAAAACAAATTGGTTTAAAGAACTGGAGCCAAGTTGCAAGAAGTTGACTCCAATGATGGGTCCTTTTTCCTTCCTTTTCTTGTAATCGAGAGGGACCAATAGAGGGAATGGCAGGACTGAGGGGAGCATGCTAGTTTCTGTCTACCATCTTGGTAAATTTGTTTTTCTGTATTTTATCCTTCTCTGAGGTGGAATAGGCTGTCTTTTGCTCTTTTTGGTAGTTATAAGACATTGAAAAGAAAAAAAAAAAGAGTCCAGGTTCTTTGTAATTTCATTTTTTTGTTACACTGGGAAGATGGTGCCAGTACTCAGCTTCATGGGAAGTCTTTAAGTATATTCCAATATGGTGCTGAGGAAATAGCTCATTCTGTTTAAATTCAAAATGTTCTATGCACCATGAAACCTTACAAGTTGAAGATGGAGAGCAGTAACAACCCACAGAATTTAGAAGCTGTTTCGGGCCTGGGGGAGGGACTGTCAGGAGGCTTCTGAATTTGGACAGGGACATTGTGTGGACTTCAAAGCCACTGTACTGATCTGGAGAGGCCCCGTGCGAGGAATTGATTAGTAGCTACAGAGGGTGATGGACATTCTTCCCACAATTAAGTTTATAATATTTGCTTACAAGAAAATCCCTTGCTTCAAAAGAGTAGGAAACAGGCATCACAATTATTTCCAATTCTAAGCTTGAGCCTTTGGGTGCTGGGATAATGTAAATACTCTGTAGATTATCTCTAAAGACTGTTCTTGATATTTTGGCCTTTGTAGTTAATAAGAGCATTAAAATGAGTGTTACCCCCTGGGGTCGGGAGCAGTGGCTCACATCTCTAATCTTAGCACTGGGAGGCCAAGGTGGGTGGATTGCTTAAACTCAGGAGTTTGAGACCAGCCTGAGCAAGAGTGAAACCCTGTCTCCGCTAAAAATAGGAAAACCCCCCCCCAAAAAAAAAACTAGCCAGGTATAGTAGTGCATGTCTGTAGTCCCAGCTACTTGGGAGGCTGAGGCAAGAGGATCTCTTGAGCCCAAGTTTGACATTGCTATGAGCTATGACACCACAATACTCCACCAGGACACAGAGTGAGACTCTGTCTCTCACACACACACACACACACACACACACACACACAAAAGCAAGAGCGTCAAATAGTTTGCCCTTGAAAGTAGTTAAGTATGTTGTTTTGAAACACTGTTTCCTCCAACCTTACTCCAAGTTACTGAGGCATTATGTTTAAAAATTCACATCAAGCCAGGCCAGGTAGCATGCGCTGGAGTCCCAGCTGCTGTGGAGGATTGCTTCAGGCCAGGAGCTTGAGGTTGTAGGGCTTTATGAATTGTACCTGTGAATAGCTATTGTACTCTAGCTGGGGCAACACAGCAAGACCCCCTCTCTTAAAAAAAAAAAATTCACCTCTGGAACCCTGACTGGTTCGTGTAAAGTGTAGCAAAAGGGCAGGATTGTGCTACTTTGTACACGTTTACTTCTTAGGCTAGTGTCATGTCAACCTAGGATGGTGATGTGCATATAAGATTTGGTGATAATGGCTGGGCATGGTGGCTCACACCTGTAATTGTAGCCCTCTGGGAGGCTGAGGCAGGTGGATTACTTGGGCTCAAGAGTTTAAGACCAGCCTGAGCAAGAGTGAGAGCTGTCTCTACTAAAAATAGAAAAATTAGCTGGGTATTACAGTGGTCATCTGTAGTCACAGCCACGTGGGAGGCTGAGGCAGGAGAATCTCTTGAATGCAAGAGTTTGAGTTTGCTTTGAGCTAGGCTGAGGCCATGGCACTCTAGCTAGCCTGGGTGACAGTGAGATTTGGTACCTCCCCCAAAGAAAATAACGTGGCAATGATGAGAAAAAGGATTGGAATTTTCATTCCTTTGTCAGTTTAAATTAGTGTTTCCATGTCTGAATTTTGTAAGGTGTAAGCTTCATGATTTAAAACAAAATTTTCATTTTAAAAAATGCTTCTTGGCTTGGTGCCTGTAGCTCAAGCAGCTAAGGCACCAGCCACATACACCAGAGCTGGTGGGTTTGAATCCTAGCTTGGGCCTGCCAAACAACAATGACAACTATAAGCAAAGAATAGCCAGGCCTTGTGATGGACACTTGTAGTCACAGCTACTTGGGAGGCTAAGGTAAGAGAATCACTTAAGCCCAGGAATTGGAGATTGCTGTGAGCTGTGATGCCACAGCACTTTATCCAGGGTGACAGCTTGAGGCTCTGTCTCAAAAAAAGAAAAAAGAGAAAAGAAAAATGCTTCTGCTGGGTGAGGTGGCTGATGGTTTATACCTATAAACTTTGGGAGGCTGAGGTGGGAGGATGGCTTGAGTCCTACGCAACATGGTGAGACCTTGTCTTTACACAAAATAGCTGGGCGTGGTGGTATGTCTGAGACAGGAGGATTGCTTAGGCCTACCAGGGGTGTCCAACGTTTTGGCCTCTCTGTGCCACATTGGAAGAAGAAGAGTTGTCTTGGACCACACATTAAATAAACAAATACACCACACATAAGCAAAGTCTTCACATAATCTACATCTGGCCCATGAGCCATGGGGTTGGACACCCCTGGCCCAGGAGTTCTGTACTTCAGCCAGGGTGACAGAGCAGGACCCTGGTTCTGTGAACTAAAAGTTAGCACCACTGATATGAGCTGTGAGCATTGACCCTCACATAGGGCAGTGGTCTCCAAGGGAGAAAGCTTGTAGGATAGCAGGGATTACTGGGAAGAAAAGATTAGG